TTACCCATGCTGGAGTGTAATGGCGCGATCTCTGCTCACCGCAACCTCCGCCTCCTGGGTTCAAGCAATTCTCCTGCCTCAGCCTCCTGAATAGCTGGGACGACAGGCATGCGCCACCACATCCAGCTAATTTTTGTATTTTTAGTAGAGACAGGGTTTCACCATGTTGACCAGTATGGTCTTGATTGATCTTGCGACCTTGTGATCCACCTGCCTCAGCCTCCCAAAGTGCTGGGATTATAGGCATGAGCCACTGCGCCCAGCCCCCATCTCTTAAAAAAATAATAATAATTTAAAAATTCAGCTGAAAAAATATGCTAAGAAGTGATTCTAATAAATTTAAACGATTTAAACTATATTATCTGTAGACTACAAAAAAAATACCCATTGTTACATACAGACTTTTTCTCAGCTCCTTCTCAAGCAATGGAAGAGCAGGAAAGAAAGAAGTGGTACTAGTGAGAGAAGGGGGAAGGGAGATTTCTGAAAATTAAGCTGATCAGCCACTACCAGGAAAGTATTGACAAAAGTGGTTTCAAAACTATGGGCCAAGCACCAGCTTCACCTCCATAACAAAACACAAGCAAGGTAGAGCTCTATAGGAGCAACACAGCAGCTTCCCAAATGTGAGACGACACACCTGTTACAGCTGCTCAACATGACTTCATCAGCACTAAACAAAACCCACATCGTTCATAAAAACACAGCCCATTCGAAGAAATACAATTTCTAAGATAATCCTGCATGTGTAAGGGATGAATCTCAGAGTTGCCACAAAACTGTTACTGCCCCCTTCTTAGCTACCCATTACACTATTTTCTGATTTATGTATTTTAGAACTTTATTACAGTCACAGTGACATGTGCCTATCTCTGGGTGATATTCCTAAGGTCTTATTGGCACAGGTCTTACCACTCCAGTGAGGCTTTTTTGTTTTTTGGGTTTTTGTTTCGTTTCATTTTTGAGGCAGGGTCTTGCTCTGTCACCCAGGCTGGAGTATAGTGGTGCTATCATAGCTCACTGCAACCTTGAACTCCTGGGCTCAAGTGAGGAGTTCGGCTTCCCAAGTGCTTGGCCTCCCAAGTGCTAGGATTACAGGTGTGAGCCACCACACCCAGCCAACTTGTTAAGGAATCTGTATTTTATGATAATTGACCTCACCCTTCATAAACCTTCACTAAGGAGATTTAACTGAAAGCTCTCTAGTCTTTATTAAATTCACTTGTATATATAATTAAAGTTCAAGAAAGTTTAATTTTCTTTCCTAGAACAAAGCAATACTTTTTTTTTTTTTTTTTTTTTTTTTGAGGCGGAATTTTGCTCGTTACCCAGGCTGGAGTGCAATGGCGCACTCTCGGCTCACCACAACCTCCGCCTCCTGGGTTCAGGCAATTTCTCCTGCCTCAGCCTCCTGAGTAGCTGGGATTACAGGCACGTGCCACCATGCCCAGCTAATTTTTTGTAGTTTTAGTAGAGACGGGGTTTCACCGTGTTGACCAGGATGGTCTCGATCTCTTGACCTCGTGATCCACCCGCCTCGGCCTCCCAAAGTGCTGGGATTACAGGCGTGAGCCACTGCGCCCGGCAGCAATACTTTTAAAAAAGGGCCAAAAATGGGGGAAAGAAGTGCCATCTTGTCTTCTCTCTTCCTCTATTTTCTGTGAAAAATAAAAAATCCCCTAGATAAGAAAACTATAAAGCTGGAATAATACCCAATTGAAGACACAAAACTAAAAGTCAGTTATGGCTTTGTCATTTCATGATTCCTATTTTGAGTTAAATAACATGAATGAATGCACTGTTTCTTCTTTAGAATGCTTTCCAATAAAGACTTTAAAAGCATAATTCTAATTCCCAGTGATTTTCATAATAAAACTGAAGATAAACACCAAGAGGTGGGGGAAGGGAGGCAACAAAAGTCTCAAATGACTCATAAAGGCCTTTTCATGAACTAAACTGAGATGGTGAGTAAGCTCAAGGGCAGGTGGGCTCTGTCTGTAACAGACCACCCAAACCCACCAGAACTGCCATGTTCGCTCCCTTTCTCCTTCAGTCTTACTATTTGAAAGGGCTAATAAAGCTGGGCTATAAGCCATACATCCAAAAGACACAAGACTTAATGTTTGTAAAACTAAAAGCTATTAATATATTAGCAGCCAATAATGCCAGCTGCTAAACAAACACACACAACTAAAGGCCGTCTACCTGCAATTTTTTAATGTTAAAAGTTCTGCTTACAAGTATTTCTTACAAAATGTATTTAAAATAGGCAAACTTTATACCTTTAAGAAAAGATAGTAACAATGAAAAACTAACATCTGTGTAATGCTTTGCCTTAGAAATTATGAACTATAACTTCTCACTAGATTTTCATAAGAATCTCAGGAAATGGGATAATTATTACCATTATGTTACAGGCCAGTCTGACAGTGTAAATGACTTGCTTCAAGTCACGTAACTGGTAAACTGGTGGCACCAGGATTTGAACTTAGTTTTGTCTGGCTTCCAAAACTTTTCAACTACACCAGTGCATCCCCCTTACAAATCTTACCTGATAGCTGCCAGATCTCAAACAAATATGGACTTGACTATATGGAGTCAATTGTTGAGACGTACTATCAGAAGAAGGTACAAGAACATCACATGCTTGACAATAGCCAGCTAACCGCTTCTCATCTATGGTACAATGAAGAGATAATGAACCTATCTGTAAAGTAAGAGGTATACACCATTATCCACTGATGTAATATAAACAATAGCACCACCTTAGCACGTTTTAACAATACACGGAAATGCGAATAAGAAATTCAAAACTGGAGCAACCAAAAAACAAAAAGATTAAAGGTTTAGAACAGGGGTCAAAAAACCATTGCTATAGGCCAAATCCAGCCTATGGTCTGTTTTTGTCTGTCCTTTGAGCTAAGAACAATTTCTGTGGGCTGTAAACTACTCAAAGGGGACAAAAAAATACTAAGAATATGCAATAGAGACTGAATGTGGCCCCGAAAGCCTGGAATATTTAGTAGCTGGCCCTTTACAAAGAAAGTTTGCTGAAGCTTGATTTTGTGTTTTCAGGTCAATGTACAAAGGTGGACATCATTATCATGCCAGGTAGGTATGACAAGATATTAACAAAGAACAAATGATGTTAAAATTAAAGACAAGCTTAAAGGTTTTAAAAGACATATACCAGGCAGAGATTTAAAGGAGAGAACAGGCTTGAGCAAGGTGGCTCACGCCTGTAATCCCAGCACTTTGGGAGGCTGAGGCGGACAGATCACAAAGTCACGAGATCAAGGCCATCCTAGCCAACATGCTGAAACACTGTCTTTACTAAAAATACAAAAATTAGCCAGATGTGGTGGCACATGCCTGTAATCCCAGCTACTCAGGAGGCTGAGGCAGGCGAATTGCTTGAACCAGGGAGTTAGAGGCTGCAGTGAGCCGAGATCATGCCACTGCATTCCAGCCTGGCAACAGAGTGAGACTCCATCTCAAAAAAAAGAGAGAGAGAGCAAAGAAAACATAATCATCACTCGATTGGAAAGAACAGAAATGCTTCTACCCAGAGGATTTTAAAAAAAAGTTTGAAAAAAAATGCAAGTTTTAAATTATTGTATCTGAAATGCCACAAAATTAGAAACCTGATGAATTTCCTAGGCAAAGTAAAATGGGGATTTCTAGTGGGTCTAGCTAGAATAACGGAAGCATGTAAACCTCTAGGGCATTTAATCAATATCTCTACTAAGGACAGCAGAGATTAAAGTGGGAATTTTTCCAGGCACCAGGCATACAAAAACCTAGTTGTATACTTCACAATTCAGTCATCTGAATCATAAAAATAAAAACACAAATCATAAACACAGTAAAAATGTTTACTCATATTAGGAATTAATGGAAGGCAAGTTTATAAAAGATACCATATTTCACTCATCAAGTTAAAAAAAAAAAGTTTTTTTTTTTTTAAACATTCACTGCTAACTGAAGTGCCCTGAGAGAAATGTACCTGGAAAGTAATTTGGTTTGATAAATTATAGCCTCAAAAAAAAATAAATAACCACTGACGTCGTAATGCTTGTAGAAACTTAAACATATCTGAAATGTGAAGAAAAATTTAGGCTTGAAGATACAAATACCCACTCTTCTCGATTAATAAATATTATTAATGTCATTAAAGAACCTTTGGAAAAGGTTCATACCTTTGAAATGTCAAAATGCAATGTCATACCAGCTAATTATTCCAGAAGGACATTAGAAAAAGTTCAGCTTGCCAGGTGCAGTGGCTCACGCCTCTAATCCCAGCACTCTGGGAGGCCGAGGCGGGCAGATCACGAAGTCAGGAGATCGAGACCATCCTGGCCAGCACAGTGAAACCCTGTCTCTACTGAAAAATACTGAAATTAGCTGGGTGTGGTGGTGCGCACCTGTGGTCCCAGCTACGTGGGAGGCTGAGGCAGGAGCATGGCTTAAACCCGGGCAGCAGAGGCTGCAGTGAGCCAAGCTCACGCCACTGCACTCCAACCTGGCGCCTGGCGACAAAGCAAGACTCTGTCTCAAAAACTTTAGCATGCTTTAAACCCAATTGATGATATAATTTATGAAGTTATATTTTTAGCAATATAAAAGATTCAAGTGTGTAGTACACAGTTTATGGGCCAATAATTCACTAAACTTATAAAAACTAATTTGCCTGAAGTCAACTTTCATTTTTACACAGGCTATCTAACTGTAAGCATTTAACAGAGTGCAATAAAATAAATGCAAAAAAAATTTTCTTTGACAATTTGGCAGAAAGGTAATGGGAATGAAAAGAGGCAAGTGGGCAACCCACAGTTTTCTGAGTCCCTGCCCTGAACTTCTTCTAATAT